TGCGGGGTTTGTACGTGCGGCATGCGGGGTTTGTACGTGCGGCGTGCGGGGTTTGTACGTGCGGCGTGCGGGGTTTGCACGTGCGGCGTGCGGACTTTATATAACTCTTATATACTGCATTCTATTTTGAACTGTTTTGGTGCAAAGTGCACCTGAGAATACATTCCTGTGGCAACATAAATGTATTCCAAGGAGAATACAAATAGATTCCAAGGGAAATACGAAATATAATGGAACACGTAATTGTATATCAAATAAAGCATCAATGCACCATGAGGCAGCACAATACGAAAGCAAGCTCAGGACATCTTTTTCACCAGGCATGTCAATCAGGGCACTTGCCTTTGGCGATTTTCGCGTGCAAGCTCGAAGCAAACTTGTAAAGCATCTCTGTAGGATGCCATATGATGGCATGTGCTTTCTTATCGCGAATGAGCTTCGCAATCTCGCTCGGCTCATACGCAGTAGTATTAATGACTGCCTCAATGCCTGCGTCTCCGCTTTGCAGCAGCGCCTTCAACATCTCCAGACCGACCGGCTTTCCATCAAGCGTGAGACTCATGAAGTTCACCACGTCCTTGATTGCCAACTTTTGTAAACCCGTCTGGATGTCGCTCAGACTATCTCCCTTCCTCAGAGTTTGGATGAAATCGAAAGCGAGTCCAAAGCGAAAGTAAGAAACATGACTGCACAACCACAATGTGTTCAGAGAAGGCACTTCAGATCATTGCATGCATCCACCAAATCACCAGCGCGGAGGCCGCCTGATTGGAAGGCTACGCTTACGCAACAAAGCGGTGCATGGAAAAAACAGCGTGACAGAAGCCTGAAGCATTCCATGCCAAGGCACACTTGTCAATGATTTCTGCCGCATCCGACTCGTGGCCGTGCTTCTCGAGCACCTCTGTCCCCTCTCCGTGGGTCATGTCGCCCACCCAGATGTCGAATCTGCGGCCGCCGGCATCAAACGCCTGAGCCGAGGCAGCAGACGAGGCGACCACCACAGCCTCACATGCACTAAGACAAGGATACGCGGGGGACTCAACCAGGAAACAGAATTGCTTCCATGGACTGACTATAATGCGCAGGGACATGTGCCGGTGCATTGTAGCTCGAATCACTCGACATGTCCTTCGCCATGTTGGAGACCAGCTTCATACCCTCTTTACCTCATGGAGCGCTGCTGACAAACACTGCCATTCAACAAGTGCACACAGGCCTCCTTCCAGGTCACGAGGAATGTCCAGAAGCAGGATGGGATATTGAGTCAGGTTGTTTGTGTACTTCTTCTTCTTCTGCAGCTTGGCGCGGACACGACGAAGCACCTCATCAAACATGTTCGCGTCCTTCACACCAAGCCTTGTGTACATGACAGGCTTCCAATCTTCCACCTCGATCGTGAAGCCCCACACCCCGCGCACACCGCGCAAGGCCTCTTGCACGGCCACTGTCTTCCCGCATTTGTAGCGGCCACTCACGATGGTCGCGTGGAACTTCTGCCTCCAGCTCTGCAGCCTGTGTTTGATGTCATCTACAACTTTCCGTGCGACCACCTCGTCCGGAGACGTGGCTGGCTCATAGGGCGCCATGAACTTCTTTACGGCCAAACGCTTCATGCGAAAGTCCGAGGCGGCATACGACACCACAAAGCTTGCAGCAGACACCACAAAGCCTGCAAGAGCCAGGGAAAAGTCTCGTATGTCGCGAATGTCAACTGTCTTGTTGGACTGAGCATGCATTGCCCATTGTATCACAGCTCGAAGCTGCGGCAACGCTTTCAGTTGGGTCGGTGGCGCGCTGAGCCGCCTCCCGCAACTCACTGGCATTGCCTTGCTCGCCACTGTTTTGACAAGAATTTTGAAAAAGCAGCTCTAAGAATCATGATTCAATCAAAGCGGCAGCACTGCTTCCAATGAACTGCAGGTTTCCTCCACCGTGATTCGCTGTGCCACTGACTGTGGATGCCTTTTGCGGAAAAAGGCGGCTACAAGCAAGCACACACACACAAGGCTTCTGAAACTCCCCGGCCTGTGGCAACAGGATGAAGTTTGTCGGCGCCAAGCAGAAACAAGCTGCTGCACAAATCGCGCAAAACAATGGCAAACTTCCTTTGCGGCGTCGCATGGCCATCGCTGCAGGGCAGGAAATGCACAAAAAAATCAGAAGTTCTCCGTGCGTTGGGATTAGAAGATAATGCCGAAACTTCTTAAACGTGGCAACCCCCTTGGAAAGAGGTGAATGTAAACAAAGCCTGTGTCCAACACTTTCTGAAAACATCATGCGACAAAGACATTCCAACTGCATTCGCCCACAAGCCCTATCAGCCCCGGCATTTTGGAACGAACAACCAATTACCATACTATGCCCCATAAAATGAATAAACCTAACCTTGCCCATTTCGGGATGTTACATCACCTGATAAATAGGATGAGATAGAGTACTTTAAGGATAATGAGCTACTAGTTGTGATTATATGGCCAATATATGATCACGGTGATGTAATTACCCAAACTGGGCGACCCTTACCTTGTCCATTTTGGATAATTGCACCTTATTTTCTATATGGTAAAGTGTTTTAGGATATTATGGCTATGATCTGGGCCACGGTGGTGCAATTACCCAAACTGGGCGAGGCCTTCCCTGACTCCTGTATGAATACATGCGCCGGAATCGCCGATTGGAGGCCTTGGGGTGCAACGGCCCTCCTACCCGATCGAACTCATTGCGCACGGACTGACAGTTTTAAGGGCGCTTGTTGAAGCGATGGAGAACGATCTTGTCAAACACTACTTGCTTCTGCACCTACGTAAGGCTTGCACACATCGTTGATTCGTTGATTTTGGGCGGTTTCAAGTATTGAGGTGTGAAATCGGGTGTCGAGGGCTGCCTTGTTCTTTTGTTGGGGGGGTTAGTCCCTGTATAAGATGAATCGTGTTATTTCGTGTTTCGCGTGGTGTGCCATGCCGTGTTCGCCATGAGTCATGCCTCCTTGATTCTCAGTACTGCTGCTCACTGGTGTTCCCATCGATGTTGTGCTGCTTGCTGCCATCGCTCGGGTTCAGTGCTTCACGATGGCGTATAAGCACGAAATTCCAAGCCATGGACAACCTACAAGCAAACTTCACGCCCTGTACATACTAATTATATGCTATGGACTATGTACTGTATACTATGTACTATGCACGTTATATTGTATACTAATCACTCTATACTGTATACTATTAATTAGTTACTTTTTATACAAAGGACTATATAGTATATACTCTACTATGCAGGCATGCATACATACACGTATACGTATACGATTTCGTATTCGTACATGTGCATTTTCCTCTACATAGACATGTGCATATACACTTACATGTACGACGCAAATACATTACATATACGTATACGTATACATATAGTTTCAGATACACATACATGTGCATGTACATGTACGGGTGCATTCAAAGGGCGTGCTCTGGCACAGCATCCCTTGACATCAGGAGAAAGAGGCTGGAAACTCAGTGATCGGCATTAGAGTTTTAGCCTATGTATTCTGCCTGCGTTTAGAGCGTTCCTTTAGAGTTTTCAGTGTGCAGTTGTGCCGTGACCATAGAGATGCTAGCCGGCACAAGGCAGACCCTCAAATGCGGGATCCGCGATGAAACCGCCACCTCACTCATTACCGCCCTCCCACATCTGAAGAATCTGTCTGGTGGCCAACAAACTTACAACTTCCTAGCAAGTGCTACGTTCACCTTCGTTGGTTTCGCGGCTGTAGGGTATGTAAAGCTTTCGGGTGTTGTGGTGTAGATTTGAGGTTTAAGCTTTTAGGGCTTAGCATCAGCAAGCGTTCGGATAACTAGAACAAGGGTAACAGCGACAGTAACCGAGTTGAACTTGTTCATGCTGGTACTTCTCACCAGCATAGACTCTCATGAACACCGGAAAATGGATATCTTTGTGTTGATTGCGGCAATTTTAAGTAACAGCGACCCCGTGAATAACGCAAAGCCCGAATAAATACAGGATGGTAGGAAGCAGTGCTCGGGAACGTGGCGAATCAGAATGGGTGAGCCATTCGCACTGATGATACCTTTACCGCGACTTGAGAATGGCAAAGGTGAAGCAGATTTCAGAGTCGAATGCATAGCCTGCAGCTATCGGGCTGTATTGCAACCCCTTTGTACACACCCTGGACCCCACCCGAAACCGCCTAAATTCAGAGACCTTCCCTAAAACTTTGGCGTCCTAGTTTTGTATGAAAAGACATGTTCATGAACTGTCTGAGAGCTGCAAACCCTGAACTAAGCAGTCGTGGAATCCAATCGTTCCTGAAGGCTGGTGAAATTGGGACCCCCAGGCGCTAAACTTGACCTTTTCATTCCGAACCTTGGAGCTTTGTAAGTATGCTCGGCGCTCTGCAGGAGAACGCCTTCAAGCCAATCGCATTCCCCAAATCCTTGTCTAGTATTTGCTTCGGCGCACCCCCTTGAAAAGGAGCATATCTCAAAACCTGACCCCCAAGGCCCACTCCTCAATCCAACACATTCGACCCCAGAACCTTAAACGCGCGCACGAATTTTTTGCCCAGGCGTGGTCCTTCTTCACGCAGCTCTTGGACGGCGTAGAGCATGTTGGAACTTCAACCGGGCGGCGGACGCTGTCCAGATGCTCGCCAGGGCCCTGCTCCTCGTCCTCTTCGGGCACTTCGTGGACGACTTCAACGGCGTGGAGGACGCGGACTCGGCCGACTCCCACCAAAGGTCACGCCCACATTGCTTTTCTGTTGAGCAGTAGAGAATGCGGGCGCAACATCATATGGAGGTAATCGGGATCGAACCATTGGGCTTACTAATCAGAGGTTTACATGACTTCATGTTGTCACTCGCCCGGCAGGCATAAGGGACTTGTTTCGTTTGTTTGGAGTTTCTGAGATGTAAGGCCCGGCTGGATTCGGTGGATCCGACAAATGCACACGGTGCCTTAAGGTATGCTGGGCCAGGTCGTTGTTGCAGTCCTAGTGCAATATAGGAGATCGGGTTGGATGCTGCATCGGGTTAGTAGATTAGCATCACGTGTTGTCAGCTTGGATTACACCCTGCCAGTCGACAGTCTGAGCAAGCCCCGTACTCACAGCTGTTACCCTTAGTCCCAAATCCCTAAGCCTGAAGCGCCAATCCCTAAATCTTTCGCCTCCGCATGGCAAGAGATATGCTTTCCAAAGCTGTCTCTTTCTCTCTCTCTCTCTCTCTCTCTCCCTTTCCCTCTCTCCTTCATTCTCTCTGTTTGAGTTTCTGTCCTTCACTCTCTCTACTCTGTCTCTCTTTCTCGCTGTCTCTCCTTCACTCTCTCTACTCTGTCTCTCTTTCTCGCTTTCTCTCTCCCTCTCCCTCTCCCCCCCTCCCCCTCCCTCTCTCCCTCTCCCTCTCCGTGTGGTATCCAACTATGCAGGTAACTTTTGCTTGCCTTTGGGCACTGATGCCAGGGGTATCGTCCATCGGGACATCAAGCCAGAAAATATGTCGAAGCCCCAGGACTGGACTGTGGGGTTTCGGGTTAAGTCTACGCTGCTGGCAAGCTCACATCGGCCTTGTGCCTCTCAAAGTCTGAAGACGCTTGTGCCTCGCATGTCCGGCGAAGCTTCTTCTAGCAGAGCTTCTCATATGAAGGGCAGTCTGAAAGGGGTTTTGGCCTCGGAGTTTCAGAGGGAAGTTTGGAGTTCAAGGATTAAGAATCACGGTGTAGGGCCGTATAGGCTTCGGGGTGCAAGTTTCATGGATGCGGATTGGATTGTCGAAGCTTGTATCCCTGCAGCCCTGCAGTAGCGTCTATGTCAGTGCTTGGCTGAGAGATTTTACGGTTGCTTTAACTCCAGACCTCCAGCCCTGAAACTTCAAATCCGACATCCTAACCAAGCCCCCAACAATCCAGAAATCCTCAACCCTGAGCCTCATAAGGCTTGGAAACCTAAGCGCTAAAAACCGAAACTTGGATCTTAAAGATCTCGGCCTTCACTGCGCCAAGCCTGCTGGACGGCCCGACCGTGAAGCTCCCCGATTGGGGCTTCAGCGACACCTTCCAGGACCATCATTCCCCGTAGGGTTTCTTTGCATGCTTACAGTATGAATGCACAATCCCCTCTTTCACTCATTTCGGCTTCCGTACTCTGTCCTTGGGAAAAACGTGTTTTTTGGGTTACGGTCAAGGTGTGGGGTTTCAGTGGTTGTGGGTGTAAAGAGCGAGCGTTGATCTGCAGCTCCAAACTTTGAGACCCTAGACCCACGATCCCGTTTTGACCATGGGTTGGGGGGCTGGAATCTCGATTCACGCGTCTGGATTTAGGCATCTGGGTGTTAGGGTCTGGCCTTAGGGCAAGTTTTGCGCAAGGAGGGCCAACTCCTCACCAGAGCATGCGGCTCCGGCTGCTGCGCTCTTGGAGTTTTTGAATTTGGGAGTTTGGCTTTCGCAAGAGGTTCTTTTCTCTTCGAAACCCTGAACTTCCAAGCGTGCACCGGGTGGAAGGGGAGGGTGGGGGGGGCGTTCGATCTGCAACGTCTCCTAATGGTGTGGTGTCGGGTTTGGAAGTTAGGCATCGGTTTTTCCCGGCATTTGCCACATCTCATCTCTACTGCTTCTGTACCTCATTAATCATCCCAGTGCCTCAGTGGACCCTCCTCAATGCTGCTCCTTTCCTATCCTCAACCCTAAACCGCAAAAGCCAACTCTAAAAGGCAAACAGAGCGTTGTGTGGGAACCTTTGACTGTTGCTGTATGTTATCTCATACTTGACACCTTGGACGCTGAAGGCTTTTACACTTCATCGGGTACCTTCCTAACCTGCATTGTAGGACGGGCGCACAGTTGTTCTGAATCTGGTTAGAGCACCAACCTGCAGCTTCATCGTTTCATGAACCTTTCACCTTGCAGTGGGAAGAAGGGGAGGTAGTCTTTTTCAGTTGGAGAGAAACTGTAGTGCCTCAGGCTACGCGGCTCCGGAGCTGCGGAGCTTCCAGCCGCGTGATACCCAGCGGTTTCGGATTCAGGGCGATGAATGTGTGAGGTTTTAGAAGTTTAGGATATTAGCGCTTTACCCCTAAATTTGCGACGAACTCACGGTATAGGCCGTGAGCATGCAGAAGTGC